GTTGCGACGGCGCATTACCATCTGAGTAGGGGCAGAGTGATTAGTGTTGGAGGAGAGCGAGAGAGAAAAGGATACAAAGTAGTGGTCGGAGACATGGAGGGGAGTTGCAGTTAGATTAGTAGAAGAACAGCATCTAGTAAAGATGAGGTCAAGCGTATTGCCTGCCTTGTGAGTAGGGGGGGACGGTGAGAGGGTGAGGTCAAAAGAGGAGAGGAGTGGAAAGAAGGAGGCAGAGAGAAATGAGTCAAAGGTAGACGTAGGGAGGTTAAAGTCACCCAGAACTGTGAGGGGTGAGCCATCCTCAGGAAAGGAACTTATCAAGGCGTCAAGCTCATTGATGAACTCTCCAAGGGAACCTGGAGGGCGATAAATGATAAGGATGTTAAACTTGAATGGGCTAGTGACTGTGACAGCATGGAATTCAAATGAGGAGATAGACAGATGGGTCAGGGGAAAAAGAGAGAATGTCCACTTGGGAGAGATGAGGATTGCTGTGCCACCACCCCGCTGACCAGATGCTCTCGGGGTATGCGAGAACACATGGTCAGACGAGGAGAGAGCAGTAGGAGTAGCAGTGTTTTCAGTGGTAATCCATGTTTCTGTCAGCGCCAAGAAGTCGAGGGACTGGTGGGTAGCATAGGCTGGGATGAACTCTGCCTTGTTGGCCGCAGAACGGCAGTTCCAGAGGCTGCCAGAGACCTGGAACTCCACGTGGCTGGACAACTCTCTCTCTCTCTTCTCTCTCTCGCCAGTTAATGGGAGATGGCGCTGTAGAGGACAGCAGCCGTTTTTCCGTCTCCCGACCAATTCTGCTACATTGTGTGTGTTTTTTTACCCAGATATTTTTGTTGTTGTACATAATGTCTCTACCATAATTTCCTATGACCGAAAGTAGCTTCTGGACATCGGAATCACTAACCTTAATTTGGATGACAACTTCTACTTCAACGAGTCAGCTGCTGTGGATGTTCTGCTTACTCCGGACAAGGCCCTAATCTCGGAAAAGGAAGCGACGCCACAAAAGGGTCAGACGGACAGGGATACTGATGAAACTACGCTGGCGTGCAAATAAACCGCCCCCTATCCTCTGTTATGAAGAATTGTAAAATCCTGTGTTTCTCAGAGTTGTGGCTGAACAAGGACATGCATAATATACATCAAAAACGTACGGCAGCGTCGGGTATGGTTAGGGGGGAGGGGTGTGTCTCTTTGTTAAGATTAGCTGGTGTGCGATCTCTATTGTTTAGGAGGGGCAAGATGGCGCCGGAGGGGATGGCTGCCGTTTTATGGACTCTTAACCAACAATGCTATTTTGTTAGTTTTTTCGCATTGTTTGTAACTTAGTTAGTACATAATGTTGCTGCTACCGTCGCTTATGACCAAAAAGAGCTTCTGGACATCAGAACAGCGATTACTCACCTTGAACTAGACTAAGAATGTTTCTTTAATGAGTCGGACTAGAGGGATTTGTTCCAGACCCCCGACAAGGCCCTCATCCCCGTCATTTGCAGTAGAAAGAAAAGTAGATATCGCGGAAGGAGATCGGGGTGCCTGGTAAGGAGCCGGCGACGAGTGCTAATCTGCCTTTGCCATCGATACTATTGGCCAATTTGCAATCGCTTGATAATAAAGTGGATGAACTACAAGCACGTATATCCTACCAACGGGACATAAAAAAACTGTAATATCTTATGTTTCACAGAGTCGTGGCTGAACGAAGACATGAATAACATACAGCTGGCGGGTAATACACTGTATCGGCAGGATAGAACAGCAGCCTATGGTAAGACAAGGGGTGGCGGTCTATGTATATTTGTAAACAACAGCTGGTGCACGATATCTAAGGAAGTCTCAAGGTTTTGCTCGCCTGAGGTAGAGTATCTCATGATAAGCTGTAGACCACACTATCTACCAAGAGAGTTTTCATCTATATCCTTCGTAGCTGTCTATTTACCACCACAAACCGATGCTGGCACTAAGACCGCACTCAATGAACTGTATACGGCCATAAGCAAACAGAAAAACACTCATCCAGAGGCGGTGCTCCTAGTGGCCGGGGACTTTAATGCAGGGAAACTTAAATCAGTTTTACCTAATTTCTACCAGCATGTTAAATGTGCAACCAGGGGGGAAAAAACAAGAGTTTTTTTCTTTACTCCACACAAAGAGATGCGTACAAAGCTCGCCCTCCATTCGGCAAATCTGACCATAATTCTATCCTCCTGATTCCTGCTTACAAGCAAAATCTAAAGCTGGAAGCACCAGTGACTCGGTCAATACAAATGTGGTCAGATGAAGCAGATGCAAAGCTACAGGACTGTTTTGCTAGCACAATAAATAGTACCCGCAAAACACCAGTCTCAACATCAACAGTGAAGTGGCGACTCCGGGATGCTGACCTTCTAGGCAGAGTTGCAAAGAAAAAGCCATATCTCAGACTGCCCATCTTAATCATTTCTTTTTATTGGCGAGTCTGAGATATGACTTTTTCTTTGCAACTCTGCCTAGAAGGTCAGCATCCCGGAGTTGCCTCTTCACTGTTGACGTTGAGACTGGTGTTTTGCGGGTACTATTTAATGAAGCTGCCAGTTGAGAACCTGTGAGGCGTCTGTTTCTCAAACTAGACACTAATGTATTTGTCCTCTTGCACAGTTGTGCACCGGGGCCTCCTACTCCTCTTTCTATTCTGGTTAGAGCCAGTTTGTGCTGTTCTGTGAAGGGAGTAGTACACAGCGTTGTACGAGATCTTCAGTTTCTTGGCAATTTCTCGCATGGAATAGCCTTCATTTCTCAGAAGAAATGAAGGCTCAACTAGTCTCAAGAAGGCCAGTTTTATTGCTTCTATAATCAGCACAACAGTTTTAAGCTGTGCTAACATAATTGCAAAAGGGTTTTCTAATGATCAATTAGCCTTTTAAAATGCTAAACTTGGATTAGCAAACACAACGTGCCATTGACTGATGGTTGCTAATAATGGGCCTCTGTACCCCTATGTAGATATTCCATAAAAAATCAGCAGTTTCCAGCTACAATAGCCATCTACAACATTAACAATGTCTACACTGTATTTCTGATCAATTTGATGTTATTTTAATGGACAACAAAATTGCTTTTCTTTCGAAAACAAGGACATTCCTAAGTGACCCCAAAATTTTGAACGGTAGTGTACATACCCCAACCAGAAGCCATGGATTACAGGCAACATCTGCACTGAGCTAAAGGGTAGAGCTGCTGCTTTCAAGGAGCGGGACTCTAACCCGGAAGCTTATAAGAAATCCCGCTATGCCCTCAGACGAACCATCAAACAGGCAAAGGCTCAATACAGGACTAAGATCGACTCGTACTACACCGGCTCTGACGCTCGTCGGATGTGGCAGGGCTTGCAAACTATTACAGACTACAAAGGGAAGAACAGCCGTGAGCTGCCCAGTGACACGAGCCTACCAGACGAGCGAAATTACTTCTATGCTCGCTTCAAGGCAAGTAACACTGAAACATGCATGAGAGCATCAGCTGTTCCGGACGACTGTGATCACGCTTTCCGTAGCCGATGTGAGTAAGACCTTTAAACAGGTCAACATTCACAAGGCCGCAGGGCCAGACGGATTACCAGGACGTGTACTCCGAGCGCGCGTTGACCAACTGGCAAGTGTCTTCACTGATATTTTCAACATGTCCCTGACTGACTCTGTAATACCAACATGTTTCACGCAGACCACCATAGTCCCTGTACCCAAGAACACTAAGGTAACCTGCCTAAATGACTAACCCCCGGAGCACTCACGTCTGTAGCCATGAAGTGCTTTGAAAGGCTGGTCATCTCTCACATCAACACCATTATCCCAGAAACCCTAGACCCACTCCAATTTGCATACCACCCCAACATATCCACAGATGGTGCAATCTCTATTGTACTCCACACAGCCCTCTCCCACCTGGGTAAGAGGAACACTTATGTGAGAATGTTGTTCATTGACTACAGCTCAGCATTAAACACCATAGTGCCCTCCAAGCTCATCACTAAGCTCAGGACCCTGGGACTGAACACCTCCCACTGCAACTGGACCCTGGACTTTCTGACGGCCCACTCCAGGTGGTGAGGGTAGGCAACAACACATCCGCCACGCTGACCCTCAACACGGGGGCCCCTCAGGGGTGCGTGCTTAGTCCCCTCCTGTACTTCCTGTTCACCAATGACAAACGGTACCAAAGTGCCGAGTCTGGGACCAAATGGCTCCTGAACAGCTTCTACCCCCAAGCCATAAGACTGCTGAACAGTTAATCAAATGACTACCTGGACTATTTCCATTGACACTTTTTTGCACTGAATCTCTTGCACTGACTCTATGCACACTCACTGGACTCTACCCACACATTCACACATACTTACACTCCAACACTCCAACACACACACAACATATGCTCACACACACACACACTTTTTGTAAAATTGCCAGTGGAAATGGTTAATAGGAGTCATTGTGCACAGAGTTGTATGGTTTGTTTAACTTTGTGTAATAAGTGTTTTTTGTTTGACATACTTTTAAAGTGAAAAATATGTGTCTCAGCATCATTCTGTTACCATGGAATTGCCCTGAATTAAATCAAACAATTATTCATTGTTTAGCCTATATTTAATGAATGAATGTTAATTTAGAATGTATACATCCCCACCCCTGAATATAACAAATATGTGTTTGTAGTCCCCTATAATACAAATACAAAAATAATCACTTTACAGTTCATATATCAAGCTCATTTTCTGAGCTGTAATAACATAAGTACTACCATGTCATCTTACAGCATGACCTCACCTGTGGTAGCAGCCTTGCCCAGTTGATGGTTAGAGGTACTGATGACAGTACCATACTCCACAGCCAAGTGCCCTGTCAGAACTGAATCCCAAAATATGAATGCCCTCTGGCAGAAGTCTGATAGGACACTGACAGCCCTAGCATTGCCCTCTTTGTAGCCTGTCATCTGTAGCTTCTCCATCTCACTCACTCCTCTGAGAAGAACACTAGCAAGCCGACCCTCTGCCGGTCCAGGTCATTCAGGCTGCCAAACCCACTCAGCACTGCACTGTCTGTGTCACCGGATGCTGCCACAAGGATGAGGTAGTTGCACATTTGTGGGAGACAATAGCTGAAGAGCTAAGGCATCAACTACAAGGCCAGGTCTTTGAACGAAGCAGTAGGGCCGTGGAAGAACTCCTGCACAAACTGGTTATGAATGTGGTGTTTCACCGGTGCAACGGTCTTGCTGGCAAAGTTAACCCCGTAAGCTCTGAACACCATTCTTCTGAGATCTGTACCAGGGATATCCATGGGGTGTATAGCAATTTTCAAGGATGGCTCGTTCAGGATAGGGCATGTCTGCTAGTCTCAGCATTCTCGTGCGTCGAGCTTCGGAAAGCCTTTTTGGGGCACGTATAGTCCACCATCAGGAGCTCAACCCTCAACAACAACTTCACTAAAGTATTTTGGATCACTAGATAATCCGTTATCACTCCTGGTTGACACAGTGGTCTCCGAATCAGAGTTCTGGTATCTCTTCACAGCCTGAAGCACCTTCTCTGCAATCTCCTCAACAGTATCTCCAGTCCCACAGAGCACTCTAGTGTCAAACCATTTCTCATAAAACTGCTTCCTGTAGTGTAGAATCTGCCTCATGGGGATCTCAGCCTCCTGGCCCACATTCCTGTTCACCTTCATCCTGGAGAGTCTCTGTATGATGTCATCGGTGGCTACATCTAGATACACTACCAGTCCTTTGTGTTTTACATTTACATTTTAGTCATTTAGCAGACGCTCTTATCCAGAGCGACTTACAGTTAGTGAATACATATATTTTTTTTATACTGGCCCCCCGTGGGAATCGAACCCACAACCCTGGCGTTGCAAACGCCATGCTCTATCAACTGAGCTACATCCCTGCCGGCCATTCCCTCCCCTACCCTCGACGACGCTGGGCCAATTGTGCGCCGCCCATGAGTCTCCCGGTCGCGGCCGGCTGCGACAGAGCCTGGATTCGAACCAGGATCTCTAGTGGCACAGTTAGCACTGCGATGCAGTGCCTTAGACCACTGCGCCACTCAGGAGTACTTGTTTTAGGTGCTGCATAGCCCCAGAGTGGAGTGGGTTGGATCCCATTAGGGAGATGACACTACCAGCAGTGGAGAATTTGCACACAGCCTGCCCCTCTTCTTCCAGGAAATGTTCACCTCTGACCTCGGAAAGCTTGTCAGCCACGGCACCTTCCATGTCACCTCCAGGACATGGTCGTCCATGTCAATGACAGGCATTCCCAGTCTGTGAGTGACATCACACCCCACTGAGGTTTTTCCTGCTCCAGCCGGACCCGTTAGCAGGATGTTTCAGTCCCCTATCTGGGGTACAGTAGATAGCCATGATCTGGATATTGAGAAAGAGCTTGTGCTTGTCCGCCATCTCACAGCTTTCAGAGCAAGCTGCTGTGTGTTGTTCAACACTCCCATTGCTATAAACAGTTTCACCCTTTGACAGTAGGATCCTGGAAGCATTTTGAGGTAGTTGTTATGTCAGATCTGTAAGACAGATCAGATCAGATTGATTGTGCAGGGTTAATTACATCAAATAATGACAGGTAATACATTCAGTGAGGTAAATTCCTTGTCAGGAGCTGTTGAAATGTGTAATTTATGTAGCAACAGGATGATAATTAACATCTATCCTGGTCATACAGCAGTTAATGTAGCTAGCTAAGTTAGTTACTTGACCAGAATTAATAGACCCCATAGTTTATCTACATACTTCCATTTCTGTCTTCTAAAATACTATTCTGTTTAAAGAGGCAATCAGCAGTTGAAACAATAACAAAGAGTTATCTCCACCACTGTTTGTTTTACTAAAAAGATAAGGGATGGGGCTGGATTTTTTTTTACCACATTCAAATTCATAGACAGAGCTATGGACTGACCAACAAGCTTATATTTTGGGTTCTGATGGGGTACGACAGTTGAACAGCTCATGAGGCATTTATAAGTTATATTCTTCAAGAAGCAAATTTCGTTGACATACTGTAGCTAGCTAGAGAAAGAGCTGCTGAAAGTAAACCAAAGTCAGCCACATTGGCTTGTTGAACGTTGACACATTGTACGGCAAAGTAAATGGACAAACTTTATTTAGCGATTACCGTACTAACGGTAGCTAACTCAGTTCTGTACATATGTGGGCAACCGCAGCATTCAAACGAGGCTGCAATGAATACTAATGGTACTGTTGCGACTGTGTTGGCATCAAAATCCGGGGTGTGAACTAAGTTTCGATTCAGCGTTGATTGACATGGTAATAGACCAATAGTATTGGACAAGTTGAAAGAAACTGACCCCGCTGACGCTGTATGTTAAAGTGTGACATGTCACGACGTAACGTACGCAGAGGAGGTCTAAGAGAGAGAGGGAGGAAGACTGTGAGCTTAATTCTGTAAAAAATGGCGGGAAAAAGTGAGAAGGTTTGTTAAAGAAGAATGGTAGGAAATGTAAGCAAAGTGAGCTGAAGACAGGAGTAGAAATGGAAGTGAATGAGAGTGAAGTATCGGAGGTGGTAGGTGTGGTGAAGTACTCGGAGCCAGAGGCTTGCACAGAGCGTCAGATAAAGATGAGTCTGTGACACTAGGAGTGACGTTTTTGGAAAAAGGGGACCCCTTGCCTTTTGGCTGATCCATTTGTGGTTTCAAGATCGGTGAAAAAAGCGTTGGGTATAGTGGAATCGGTGAGGGTAACCAGAAGTGGTCTAGTGATAATTGTTAGTGTTTCTGTTGGGCAGAGGGAGAAGGCGCTAAGAGTTAAACAAATGGGGGAAAGAATTGTGAATTGATTAGCTCTCAAGAAAAGGGCACCATTGAAAGGAGTGATTACTGGGGTAGCAGTAAATGTAAAAGTGGACCAACTGAAGGGGAAGATTCCCGGTGTGTGATGCTCGTCGTATGGTGCGACGCAAACAGGATGGCAAGAGTGGGGAAACAGAAGAGTCATTGTCTGTTCTTTTGAGTTTTGAAGTTGAGTCTTTGCCTGACAAAGTGAAGTTAGGATATATATGTTATCCTGTACGAGCTTATGTGCCGAGAATATTACGATGTTACAGGTTTCAAACTTATGGGCATGTGGCAGCAGTATATAATGTATGCTAATCTCCAGTCCCTCGACTTCCTGGCGCTGACGGAAACATGGATTACCACTGAAAACACTGCTACTCCTACTGCTCTCTCCTCATCTGACCATGTGTTCTCTTAATATCCTTGTCATCTATCGCCCTCCAGGTTCCCTTGGAGAGTTCATCAATGAGCTTGACGCCTTGATAAGTTCCTTTCCTGAGGATGGCTCACCCCTCACAGTTTTGGGGGATTTCAACCTCCCTATGTCCACATTTGACTCATTTCTCTCTGCCTCCTTCTTTCCACTCCTCTCCTCTTTTGACCTCACCCTCTCACCGTCCCCCCCTACTCACAAGGCAGGCAATACGCTTGACCTCATCTTTACTAGATGCTGCTCTTCTACTAATCTCACTGCAACTCCCCTCCATGTCTCCGACCACTACTTTGTTTCCTTTTCTCTCTCGCTCTCCTCCCACACTACTCACTCTGCCCCTACACAGATGGTAATGCGCCGCCGCAACCTTCGCTCTCTCTCTCCCACTACTCTCTCCTCTTCCATCCTATCATCTCTTCCCTCTGCTCAATCCTTCTCCCTCCAATCTCCTGATTCTGCCTCCTCAACCCTCCTCTCCTCCCTTTCTGCATCCTTTGACTCTCTGTGTCCCCTATCCTCCCGGCCGGCTCGGTCCTCCCCTCCAGCTCCGTGGCTTGATGACTCATTGCGAGCTCACAGAACAGAGCTCCGGGCAGCGGAGCGGAAATGGAAGAAAACTAAACTCCCTGCCGACCTGGCATCTTTTCACTCCCTCCTCTCTACATTTTCTTCATCTGTTTCTGCTGCTAAGGCCACTTTCTACAACTCTAAATTCCAAGCATCTGCCTCTAACCCTAGGAAGCTCTTTGCCACATTTTCCTCCCTGCTGAACCCCCCCCCCCCCCCCTCCTCTCTCTCTGTGGATGACTTCGTCAACCACTTTGAAAAGAAGGTTGACAACATTCGATCCTCGTTTGTTAAGTCTAATGACACTGCTGGTCCTACTCACACTGCCCTACCCTATGCTTTGACTTCTTTCTCCCCTCTCTCTCCAGATAAAATCCTGCGACATGTGACTGCAGGCCGCCCAACAACCTGCTCGCTTGACCCCATCCCCTCCTCTCTTCTCCAGACCATCTCCGGTGACCTTCTCCCCTACCTCACCTCGCTGATCAACTCATCCTTGACCGCTGGCCATGTCCCTTCCGTCTTCAAGAGAGCGAGAGTTGCTCCCCTTCTCAAAAAACCAACACTCGATCCCACTGATGTCAACAACTACAGACCAGTATCCCTTCTTTCTTTTCTTTCCAAAACTATTGAGTGTGCCGTCTTTAGCCAACTCTCTTGCTATCTCTCTCAGAATGACCTTCTTGATCCAAACCAGTCAGGTTTCAGGACTGGTCATTCAACTGAGACTGCTCTTCTCTGTGTCACGGAGGCTCTCCGCACTGCTAAAGCTAACTCTCTCTCCTCTGCTCTTGTCCTTCTAGACCTGTCTGCTGCCTTTGATACTGTGAACCATCAGATCCTCCTCTCCACCCTCTCCGAGCTGGGCATCTCCGGCGCGGCTCACTCCTGGATTGCGTCCTACCTGACCGGTCGCTCCTACCAAGTGGCGTGGCGAGAAGCTGTCTCCGCACCACGTGCTCTCACCACTGGTGTCCCCCAGGGCTCAGTTCTAGGCCCTCTCCTTTTCTCCCTATACACCAAGTCACTTGGCTCTGTCATATCCTCACATGGCCTCTCCTATCATTGCTACGCTGACGATACACAACTAATCTTCTCCTTTCCCCCTTCTGATAACCAGGTGGCGAATCGCATCTCTGCATGTCTGGCAGACATATCAGTATGGATGACGGATCACCACCTCAAGCTGAACCCTGGCAAGACGGAGCTGCTCTTCCTCCCGGGGAAGGACTGCCCGTTCCATGATCTCGCCATCACGGTTGACAACTCCGCTGTGTCCTCCTCCCAGAGTGCGAAGAGCATAGGCGTGACCCTGGACAACACCCTGTCGTTCTCCGCCAACATCAAGGCGGTGACCCGCTCCTGCAGGTTCATGCTCTACAACATTCGGAGAGTACGACCCTGCCTTACACAGGAAGCGGCACAGGTCCTAATCCAGGCACTTGTCATCTCCCGTCTGGACTACTGCAACTCGCTGTTGGCTGGCCTCCCTGCCTGTGCCATTAAACCCCTACAACTCATCCAGAATGCCGCAGCCCGTCTGGTGTTCAACCTTCCCAAGTTCTCTCACGTCACCCCCCTCCTCCGCACATTCCACTGGCTTCCAGTTGAAGCTCGCATCCGCTACAAGACCATGGTGCTTGCCTATGGAGCAGTGAGGGGAACGGCACCTCTGTACCTTCGGGCTCTGATCAGTCCCTACACCCAAACGAGGGCATTGCGTTCATCCACCTCTGGCCTGCTGGCTCCCCTTCCTCTGCGGAAGCATAGTTCCCGCTCAGCCCAGTCAAAACTGTTCGCTGCTCTGGCACCCCAATGGTGGAACAAGCTCCCTCACGACGCCAGGACAGCAGAGTCACTCACCACCTTCCGGAGACATTTGAAACCCCACCTCTTTAAGGAATACCTGGGATAGGATAAAGTAATCCTTCTACCCCCCCCCCCCCCCCCCCCCCCCCCAAAAAAAAAAATTTGTAAAGTGGTTATCCCACTGGCTATAGGGTGAACGCACCAATTTGTGAGTCGCTCTGGATAAGAGCGTCTGCTAAATGACGTAAATGTGCCCTTGAGCAAGGCACTTAACCCTAATTGCTCCTGTAAGTCGCTCTGGATAAGAGCGTCTGCCAAATGACTAAAATGTAAATGTAAAATATATATAGGAGGGAGGTTCCAAGGTGTGATAAGTGTGCAGAAGGGCATGAGACAAAGGAATGTGTAGCATTGGGGAAAGTAGTGGTATGTGCTAATTGTAGGGGTGGCCATCGGGCTGGGGATCAGACATGTCCCATGCGAGAGAAGCTGGTTGAGGTTTCCAGGGTAAGAGTAGAGAAAAAGTTTTCATATGCTGAGGCAGCGAAGAAAGTAGAGGAAGAGGGGTCAAGGGGGGGAGTGGTGAGAGTAGTATATATTTACCAGTACAGAGGAATAGGCAAGCAAGTGATATATGTTTCAGTAAGATTGGATTTTTTGCATTTATAGCAATGGTTATTAATTGTACTGCAGGGATGGAACACAAGTCGAATAAATTTGAGGTGGTGATGGCAGCTGCAGATAGGTATTTGGGTGTACGAGACTTGACATCAGAAGAGTTACAGGGAGTGTTAAGTGGTGATGTCCCATCATTTCAGGTTGAGGGCATGAGGTAGGAGTGAATATTTATTGTTATTTTATTTTACCTTTATTTATCTAGGTAAGTCAGTTAAGAACAAATTCTTATTTACAATGACGGCCTACACCGGCCAAACCCGGACGACGCTGGGCCAATTGTGCGCCGCCCTATGGGACTCCCAATCACGGCCGGTTGTGATACAGCCTGGAATCGGGGGGGTCTGTAGTGACGCCTCAAGCACTGAAATGCAGTGCCTTAGACCGCTGCGCCACTCAGGAGCCTATTTAAATATATTTAAATAGTGGAGAAGGGTGGGTTAGTTGTTAGTAATAATTTTGAATTCGTGTAGCGTTAGATGGTAGGGTTTTTCTTGATTTTATTTTTCAAGCAAAATATAAGGGAGTTGTACTCCAGTCTAGTAGGTGGCGGTAATGCAACAAATTGGATGCCAACCGCAGTAAAACCTCATTGAAGAAGAAGAAGAAGACGTAACATACGTTATTATTCAGTCATTCTGTACCGTACAGCCTCTTTCCACCAGGTGTAGCGCTTCTCTCGCAGATTAAAAACATGAAATGATCAATAGTGAGTTCATCAATAGTTAATTCAATCAATTGTTAACTGCGAGCCATCATGACTCTCAAAAACCCTGACACCCACAGTTTAATTATATAGATAAATTTAGCGCCACCCTGCAAACCCTATCCCTATTCAAATTCGACACAAACCTTCAAATGGGTATGTAATGAGACATTATATAAAATATTTATAGTGTTTTATTTACATTTTAGAGGTGATAAATTTGACAAATCGGGTGAAAAAAGCCAGTTCCCCACAATACACATCTACCCCTTTCACTATGACGCAGTAGCTTTCGCTTCCCCACCCGCCATTTTTAAAAAGACCCGGCGGAGCTCCCATTGCTTTCTTCGATCATGCAGAGACGGGCAGCATGAAGGTCTCGTCATTACTTTGCTGGAAAGGGGAGAAATTGTGTTTTACAATGGTATTCAGATTACAGTTGACCTGGAAGTATTTCGTTTTTGGGGCGCTAAAATAAGGTAAAATGTATGGAACAGCGCGATGTACAAAAGTGCGTTTGCTACCGTTACAAGTAAGAGAAGGCAAAACAAAGCAGACAAGCTGCAGATTGCACTATGATTAGTCAGGCCACTTGTTTCTATTGTCGATGCACCATCCTATTTCACTTAAATGGCGATACAATGTAGTAATCAATCAGTAACAATGACTAATAATGAAGGGAAGTAACAAAGACATTACTCTGTGGAAGTGATACTGTCTTCTATTCGCCATTTATACCACGGGTGGGTCTAATCCTGAATGCTGATTGGTTAAAACCGCATTCCAGCGGGTGTCTATTCCACAAATTACCACCAGCTAAATCTATGACGTTAAAATGCCTATTTACACTGTCTCATCAACCCAGTCAGACACTTTATAAACTTGATCTCCACTATCAAAAGCATCTAGACATTATCTCACATTTCTTTTAGACTAACAGTTAGTTTTCAACAGCGGAGATTTGTATAAACTTTGCCGTCTATCTCTCCGACATTTTTAACATCGTTTCAATATTCAAATACGATCTCCTGCTGTCGGGACGATACAGAAAGGCAGGCAGCGTTTCTCAGCCGGTCGAAATGATGAATCAGCTGGCATCATTTTTATATACAAAAAAAGGTAAATTCAAAAAAGGTAAAATGAAACGCAGCTAATTTGCAGTCTTTCCAGCTTCAATTTGAAGTGATTGTGTTACTGTAGCTGTGTTGTTGGCTAGCTCCTCTGAACGACAGTGTGCTGACAAGTGAGCACATTCTCTGCCAGGCGAAATCGCGCCTCATTAGTTCATTGTTATTTATGTATCCACGTAATTGTCACTAGAAAACAGCTTAAGCAAATGTAAATGAAGCTATTTTGCTGTTATTCTGGCGGAACTTTTTGACTAAGTTAGCCGTAGTTGGCTAGCTAGCAAACAAGGGATAAGAACGTTGTCAGCCAACGGAACATTTAGAACGAACGACTGGGTCGCGTCCATAGATACAGAACAAAAATACTGAATGACTGGGTCGCGTCCATAGATGCAGAACAAAAAGAACGCGCGACTGGCTCGTGTCTAGCAACCCTAGATTTGTGTTGGGACTATACATTGTGGAAGGATGAAATAGTACGAATAAATTAATCAAAATAACGTTTTTAATTAAAATATGTCAATCATTATTTGAATATGTTGGTAACCCATTGTATAAAAGTGATAATGCCCTCGAAGCCGGTGTTCGTTGGACATATTGGCACGATTTGTCAGCCCTCGATTTCGTCTCGGGCCTGACAACACCCGTGCCAATATATCGAACAACAAACACCGGCTTCTCAGGCATTATCACTTAATTCAGGGGCGTTACAATGTAGCAGCATTGGACTTATTTTAGATTGTAGCACGCTGATGTTACAATCATTCCCCGACAGTTGCCCAGCAACTGTTGCCCAGGGAACTTGTCAAACAAAACATTCCAGCAGCCTTCCCTACTTATCAGAAATTCGAATGTAGAGCCAGCTAGAGGTGACTAGCTAGCTGTTATTTGCATTTTATTTTTTCCGGTGCATATTTTGCAGCAATATGTATCCAACAGAAAGTATTTACAACCTTATTCCAAGGGAGGAGGTTAAAATGGAGAAACCACCAAGGTATGGCTGACTGTGAACTACCTATAGCTACGTAACTGTATGTAGGCTACATTGTAGCTAGCTAAACTTATTTGCACTGCACACAGCCGATGGCATTTTTACTGTACCCAGCTAGCCACATGTATTTATTTAGCCTATGTTTCTGTGTATTAGGAATGTGTGGGGATACTTTGTTGCCACAACCTGCACAGTGAATAAGACTGCACCACTGTGCACAGGGCTTCTGACTCATGACATGTCCTGTAATGATATATCAATCTTCTCTTTTCTCTTTTATTGTCAAGGTATAAATCAAAGTTTAGGGCACAAGTTAAGCATGAGAAAATGCTGAATAAGGCTACCAACAAGACTATGGGACCAGCAAAAGTAGACGTGCCCTCTCCAGAGAAATATCTGCTAAAGCACTCCAAGGAACCCAAACTTCCTGAAAGTAAGCAATAGGATGAGAATACATCTCAATATCACTTTGTTTGGAGGTCATTTCCTAACTCTGTGTTTATATTGTTAAACCCTTAGAGCAACCATTTTCATATTTGGATGATGAGACTCTCAAAAAACCACAAATACCTGCCAAAGCGGACAACCCACTTATGGGCATTCACACCAAAAAGGACTTTGTAAAGACAAATGCCTTTGAGAACATCATGGCAGTGCCAAAAAAGCCACAGCCTATCTACGCCGACACTAAAACTGGAGACAAACAGCTCCTGGAAAATTCAGGACTAGTCCCAAAGTACATCAAGAAAAAGGTGAATTTATCACTACATATGAAAATACTGCTTTTGCTTTGTCCGTCAAGCAGGTAGTGAATTTTTCCAAGATTTTGATTGCTATTCTAAGTAAGATGCTTATATGCTTCTTGCACAAAGACTGGACTCTCAATCTATGTGAACTGAACTGAAGAGCCCAACATAACTATTTGCCCATCCCCTCCCTAGGACTTTGGAAAGACCCCTGAGTACCTGCAGCAGCGCACTGAGGAGGTGAGGAGGGCTCAGGATGAGTATGACTGCTTTGTCAAGGAGCGCATGAGACAGGGCGCCATGAAACAGCTCTCTGAGGATGAGCGAAACAACATCCTACAGGTAAACCTCTTAGGTCCTTAGAACCAAGCCAATATAATCTGACCTAGAATAGATCATAAAGATGCATTACATTCATGTATGTGTTTTAGTTGATTAGTAATTTAGATAAGGTTAAATATTTGAACAATGTATCAAATGATGAATACGCTTACAAATTCTGATAAGCACCAGCATACATTCAAATTTAATGAAGGATGTGAGGGGTAAGATTTGTGTTGGTTAATTTTTTGGAACTCGCAAGGACAATCCCATTACTTTTTTAAAACTATTTTATTTATGATTTTAAAAAAAAATTACAAAACATCCACATACAAACGATAACATACAGACGCACACAAACATCCACGTCACCCCTGCCCAGACCCACCTGCTCATACCACCATCTCCAGCGCTGCATCACTCTCCGCCACATGGCCTCAAACTGCACCATTTTGTTTCTCTCCATCGCCCACTCACTTAACATTTGGATAATAAAGCATTTGACCTTTCCATTGTGTTTAACAACAATGGAGGATTGGTTGATTTCCAGTTAAGTATACAGGTATCTCACTGCACCCTCATATGCCATGTCTTGAAATATTGAGACAGACGGATTAAAAGTAAATGTACATTGTAGTACTTCTGACAGCCAACATTCTAACTCCACCCATAACTTTTGGACTTCATAGCATTCCCAGAAGGCATGGATTATTGAGTCATTGTTCGTTTTATACTTAAGACATGACTCTGCCGTTGTGCTGTAGAATTTGTGAATTTTGTCTCGTGTAATAAATGATATACATTAGTTTATACTGGATTAAGCGTACATTTTCGTTAGTTATGTTCCAACATTCCCTCCATCATGTGCTAATATCAGTTATTTTTAAGTCTTAGTTCCAGTAGTTTATATTTTTTTCTAAGAGATTGTCAATTGGATAGGCTCTCTGCAAGGTTTTTCTATATCTTACCTAGCATATGAAATCCTTTTCTGACTCAAATAGGGTTCCCTCAAGTTTGCTCTGATGTCCAAAAGATTTCAAATCGAAATTTCTTGGTATGAAACTTACGTTGCATGTGTTTGAAAATATCTACGTTGGTCAGTCCAAAATTGTTTTTTAATTCTGTCATGGAAATAAATGTATTTCCTATTACCAAGTCATTTATGCCTTTAGTTTTCCATGTGGACCAATTTATCAGTGAATTCTGAAAAGATATTGAAGTATTGTTCCATAGGCTTGTATTTTTAGGGAATGATATTGGTTATTGTAGAATACGTTTCATTTTCTTCCATATTGTTATAGTGTTCTTAACTATGAAGTTGTTAATGTTCTTAGCTTTATGCTTAGAAAATAGATGTAAAAAGATTCTGGGGATGAGCATGCACATCTTTAATATGTACCCATTGTTCCTCTTTAGTGCATTTAACTACATGTATATGTCGCAAGTAAATGCCCTGGGTGGCGAGTTGATACAATTCCAAGTCTAGCAGGTTAAAACCACCCTCTGACTTAGGAAGATGTAAAACATACCTTTTTATTCTATGAGTTTTCTTATATAATTGTATCAATGAACATTACTTGGTCATCTATTTGATTCCTTTTACTGTTTCCTCCCTATTAATGAGATGTATACTTGGTCTCTTATGACCAAGTATACTTTTTTAAGCTGTCTTTGGTGGGGTAATTAGTATTACCGAGAATAAATATTACGCTGACATGCACGGGCTCATTGATAATTCATTGTTCCTGAGCAAGAATGGAAATCTCATCTCCCTTGCCTGTGTGATTGACGGGTCATCCTCTGTCCAGGGCTTGAAGATGAACTGGGGGGAGCTGCACCATCAGTACCAGGGACTCTCTGTTGTCACGGACACCACCCCCAAGAAGTACCGCAAGGAGCGTCTGGAGCTGGAGATGAAGCAGCTGGAGAGGGACATTGATCGCATTGAGAGATACAAGACTATCTACATCGCCAACAACTAACACATGACACCTATTTTCTTTAGTGGCAAATGCATTGTAAACAGATATTCAGTGAAGAAAAAAACTGCCCTAACTGCTAGATATGAAATTGTCTGGCAAATATTAATATCCCTCTCTCTATCCCTGTCTATGATTTCACTTTGTTTTGGAAAACTAAATAAACTCCCTGCACTATATTATAAGATATTTAGATGTAATTGAATCTCAAACACAACACATCAGTATTTTATGTTCTGTTTTTGTTTATTTGTTCATTCAATATGGTATAAGCGTTTTTTGAAGGTGCCTATAAACTGTTTATAAATGTTACTACATACTATGTTCATGATGTAATCCTTGAAGTTCATTATACAAGAGCCGAAATGAGCAAATGCATATCAAATTAGTCACATTTCCTTTGTAGCAACTGTGCCTACAGGAAATCACATGCAGCTGATTATGCACCCCTGTGGATGTCTGATTGTGCCACTCAGTGGTCTATTCAGAAGGACTGTAATACAACAACCACCTGTTTTTAGTCACACTAATGACTTCAACATGACCAGACAGCATGCTTGTCTTGTTGGCTAGTTTAGAGTTTCAGCCTAAAATTCCACCAGGAATCTTTACTTAAAAAGTGAAAAGGGTAAGGGACAGAATAAAAAAGAAAAGTTCTCATTAAACAGGATTAACTTCAGAACTAAGCATTTTTGGTAAATACAGTGAGCTCCAAAAGTATTGGGTCAGTGACCGTTCTTTGGGGTTTTGGGTCTGTACTCCAGCACTTTGAAATGATACAATGACTATGGGGTTAAAGTGCAGACTGTCAGCTTTAATATGAGGGTATTTTAAGCCATATCATGTGAACCATTTAGAAATTACAGCACTTTTTGTACATAGTCCCCCCCATTTTTGAATAATGATGAATGATAAAGTTACAGAGGCATAAATATCATACCCCCGAAAAATGCTAACCTCCCCTGTTATTGTAATAGGTGTGTGCCCTCTGTAACTTTCTCACTCATCATTATTCACGATTCATTCAGGATAATCTGTAATATGGTAGCATCCACATTAATGTAGAAGTGTTTAGAACATTCTATTCTTATTTACAATAAAAGTGACTCCGAAATGACAATACATTCTTTACCATTCATTTCTATTGGGCACAATATAATCTGAAAAAAACAAAACAAACAGCAAATTCATCCAACACATTTGTAGAGTCACAACCTTGATGTAGTCATTGCGTGCTAGGAATATGGGACCAAATACTTAACCTTTTGCTACTTTAATACACATAAGTGAATTTGTCCCAATACTTTTGATCCCCGAAAATGGGGGGACTATGTACAAAAAGTACTGTAATTTCTAAACGGTTCACACGATATCGATAAAAATACCCTCAAATTGTATCACTTCAAATCCAAAGTGATGCAGTAGAGCCAAAACAACACAAAATGTGTCACTGTCCCAATACCAGTTTGAAACATTATTGTGTAGTGGACTATTGCAATATACCAATATTTATCCTTTCTATGATTTGCTTGCTTGAATCGAACTTGTTGCAACTGATTTCAGTTCATCAAGCACTGTCTTCTGATGGACTTTTTAAGTTGATACTTACAGATATAGGCTATGGGAATATTGCATGAATAAATTGATCATAACTTTGAAAGTGTTTCTTATCTTTGTTTCTCATCTCTTAGATTAAAGATGATTGGCCCGGATACAGTTTAGAGCTCTTCACTTAACTATGACCATGAAGATATAGAGTGTCTACATTCCACATTTATTTAACTAGGCAGGTCAGTTAAGAACAAATTCTTATTTAAAATGACGCCCTACCCCGGCCAAACCCGAACGACACTGGGCCAATTGTGCGCCACCCTATGGGACTCCCAATCACGGCCGGATTGTGATACAGCCTGGAATCGAACCAGGGTATGTAGTGACGCCTCTAGCACTGAGATGCAGTGCCTTAGATCGCTGCGCCACTCAGAACCCCACATGGGTTATCATGGACAGGTAAATAGCTTATCATCTGTAAGAAATTCATACAAACTTTTTCACCAAATTGCTGAGGTGATCAGAAGCAAATGTACTATTCTATTTCTGACATTGTAGTTACACAATTTGTAACATACAGTCTTTACCTTTCCATAGTAGCAAGAGCTTATCTATTTTTGCTAACTTTCTGAGAAAATGTAAGTTCCTTTATTTCTTAAGGGATATGAATACCGAGTATGTCCACTTTACCGTGTAGTTTACCAATAAAATGGTCTGACGGTGATGTAAAAGTTGTATTTTTTAGCGATCCAATACGTGATATGGTACACTTATCATAAATAAGTTTCTCTAGATCCTCTATGAGAATGTGAAGGTATCCAGATTGCGGATTGAAGTGGAAATTTGAGTCGTCAGCATACAATTACACTTTTGTTTTTAAGCCCTGGATTTCTAGCCACTCTATATTATTGTTGGATCTGATTTTATTAGCTAACATTTCGATGGCCATAATAAATAGATATGCAACAATGGACAACCTTGTTTTACTCCTCGACAGTTTAATACTTTCTGAGAAGTAGATATTATTTATTATTTTACATCTGGGGTTACGATACATAACTTTAACCCATTGTATAAGAGATTCTCCTAAATTAAATTAGTCCAGGCATTTATATCTAAATTCTAGTCGTACTTTATCAAAAGTATTTTCAAAAACCAGACCTGGTTTCCTAGATTTCTCATAGTGTTCTATTGTTTCAAGTACTGTACGTTACTACTGTGCTTTAAGGATACTAATACTCTGCCAGCAGCACAAACAATGACATCACTTTCGTATGGTAATGATTAAACCTATACAAATAAACGTTTTTTAATAAAATAACTTTATCCGCAATGTTGTATTCCATTCTGTGCAACTTGAGCCACACTTTTCCATGTGCGCACGGAGAAGTACAGTATCACAAATGGATAGGGGAAACCACTCAAGTCGCACAAAATGGAATATAACATTGCGAATATAGTTTGAAATAAAACAATTTCATGTGCACAACATCTAAAGACCTGCATCACTACACTGAGAGCGTTGCCGTTTCTAAAAGGACGTATTTGGGTGTTTTTTTTAGCTTTTGTTCATGTTTTATCCATGCCCTGGCACTGCAGAAAAAGCATGAGGAAGTGTATCGCTGGTTGGGGTAAGTTTCTCAAAACCAACTGAAATTGCAAAAAAGTATACAGATTTGGTTTAAGTGTCAACTCTGAGGTATCATGTGACCCCAAAATGTAATTACACACACTGCTCGGTCTATGAAATTGTGATTTCCTGGGGAGGTTTAACATGATTTGTGCCGTAGGACGGCATGCCTGGCCCGACACATCATGGATGACATTGGGGACCATGACATGGTGGTGCTGTGTGTTCTGAAGGGAGGGTACAAGTTCTGTTCGGACCTGGTGGAGTACATAAAGGTACAACAAACACCTGGAGACCAGAGTGAAGATCATCAGGCTTAAGAGCTACCTGGTAAGAGCTACAGTGAGGGAAAAAAGTATTTGATCCCCTACTGATTTTGTACATTTGCCCACTGACAAAGACATGATCAGTCTATAATTTAATGGTAGGTTTATTTGAACAGTGAGAGACAGAATAACAACAAAAAAATCCAGAAAAACGCATGTCAAAAATGTTATAAATTGATTTGCATTTTAATGAGGGAAATAAGTATTTGACCCCTCTGCAAAACATGACTTAGTACTTGGTGGCAAAACCCTTGTTGGCAATCACAGAGGTCAGACGTTTCTTGTAGTTGGCCACCAGGTTTGCACACATCTCAGGAGGGATTTTGTCCCACTCCTCTTTGCAGATCTTCTCCAAGTCATTAAGGTTTCGAGGCTGACCTTTGGCAACTCGAACCTTCAGCTCACTCCACAGATTTTCTATGGGATTAAGGTCTGGAGACTGGCTAGGCCACTCCAGGACCTTAATGTCCTTCTTCTTGAGCCACTCCTTTGTTGCCTTGGCCGTGTGTTTTGGGTCATTGTCATGCTGGAATACCCATCCACGTCCCATTTTCAATGCCCTGGCTGAGGGAAGGAGGTTCTCACCCAAGATTTGACGGTACATGGCCCCGTCCATCGTCCCTTTGATTCAGTGAAGTTGTCCTGTCCCCTTAGCAGAAAAACACCCCCAAAGCATAATGTTTCCACCTCCATGTTTGACGGTGGGGATGGTGTTCTTGGGGTGATAGGCTGCATTCCTCCTCCTCCAAACACGGCGAGTTGAGTTGATGCCAAAGACCTCCATTTTGGTCTCATCTGACCACAACACTTTCACCCAGTTCTCCTCTGAATCATTCAGATGTTCATTGGCAAACTTCAGACGGGCCTGTATATGTGCATTCTTGAGCAGGGGGACCTTGCAGGCGCTGCAGGATTTCAGTCTTTAACGGCGTAGTGTGTTACCAATTGTTTTCTTGGGGACTATGGTCCCAGCTGCCTTGAGATCATTGACAAGATCCTCCCGTGTAGTTCTGGGCTGATTCCTCACCGTTCTCATGATCATTGCAACTCCACGAGGTGAGATCTTGCATGGAGCCCCAGGCCGAGGGAGATTGACAGTTCTTTTGTGTTTCTTCCATTTGCGAATAATCGCACCAACTGTTGTCACCTTCTCACCAAGCTGTTTGGCGATGGTCTTGTAGCCCATTCCAGCCTTGTGTAGGTCTACAATCTTGTCCCTGACATCCTTGGAAAGCTCTTTGGGCTTGGCCATGGTGGAGAGTTTGGAATCTGATTGATTGCTTCTGTGGACAGGTGTCTTTTATATAGGTAACAAGGTGAGATTAGGAGCACTCCCTTTAAGAGTGTACTCCTAATCTCAGCTCGTTACCTGTATAACAGACACCTGGGAGCCAGAAATCTTTCTGATTGAGAGGGGGTCAAATACTTATTTCCCTCATTAAAATGCAAATCAATTTATAACATTTTTGACATGCGTTTTTCTGGATTTTGTTGTTGTTATTCTGTCTCTCACTGTTCAAATAAACCTACCATTAAAATTATAGACTGATCATTTATTTGTCAGTGGGCAAACTTACAAAATCAGCAGGGGATCAAATACTTTTTTCCCTCACTGCACCTGTTTGAACTCGTTACCTGTATAAAAGACACCTGTCCACACACTCAATCAAACAGACTCCAACCTCTCCACAATGGCCAAGACCAGAGAGCTATGTAAGGACATCAGGGATAAAATTGTAGACCTGCACAAGGCTGGGATGGGCTACAGGACAATAGGCAAGCAGCTTGGTGAGAAGGCAACAACTGTTGGCGCAATTATTCGAAAATGGAAGAAGTTCAAGATGACGGTCAATCACCCCCGGTCTGGGCCTCCATGCAAGATCTCACCTCGTGGGGCATCAATGATCATGAGGAAGGTGAGGGATCAGCCCAGAACTACACGGCAGGACCTGGTCAATGACCTGAAGAGAGCTGGGACCACAGTCTCAAAGAAAACCATTAGTAACACACTATGCCGTCATGGATTAAAATCCTGCAGCGCACGCAAGGTCCCCCTGCTCAAGCCAGCGCATGTCCAGGCCCGTCTGAAGTTTGCCAATGACCATCTGGATGATCCAGAGGAGGAATGGGAGAATGTAATGTGGTCTGATGAGACAAAAATAGAGCTTTTTGGTCTAAACTCCACTCTCCGTGTTTGGAGGAAGAAGAAGGATGAG